AGGTCCAAAGAACTATTCTTCCTCTGCCCCCCATGCCCAGTACGCATCTCATTCCTTGAGCCTGCTGTGGAATTGTCTCAGTTTGGTTTTTGTTGGGTTGTTTGTTTTTGTTTTGGTGCCGGGGATTGAACTCAGGACCTTGTGCTTGCGAGGCAGTTGGCAGAACCACTGAGCTAAATCCCCAGCCCCTAGTACGCTTGTCTCTTTGAAGGGAAAGATGAGTAGAATGGGGAGCTTTCTCCTCAGACAGAAAGATAACAGGAGAGAGGGTGGCCTAGCAAGATGTGGCTGCTCCTGGAGTCGACAAAACCTGGTTTCGCCATCTGCCCTCCGTGTGTCTCTCAGCTCTGAGCCTCAGTTTTTTTCTCTTCAAATGGAGTGGATTACCCTCTACAGAGTCACTGTGAGAACCTGATACATAATGCAAGTAGAATGATCATTACAGTTAGGTGGTTCATCGAAAAGCTGAACTAAAAAAAAAAAAAGAAAGAAAAAAGAAAAGCTGAACATAGAGTTACCATGTGACCCAGCAATTCCACTCCAAGAAGTAAAAGCATGCGTGCAACAGGTGTTTGTATATGAATGTCTGTAGCAGCACTATTCATAATAGCCAAAAAGGAGAATGTAACCCACACATCCATCAGCAGATAAAATCTGGTCCATCTGCACAATAAAGTATTATTCAACACAGACAGGAATGACACACTGGCACATACTGAGACATGAATGAACCTTGAAAACATGATGTTACTAGAAAACAGACACAGAAGGTCACAAATCACAGGATTCCATTGATAGCAAATATCCATAATAAGCCAATTGATAAAGGCAGGAAGTATATCAGTGGTTGCCAGGAGCTGGTGGAGGCAGATGGGGGGTAGCTCAGTAGGTACTTTGGGATGATGGCAAAATTTTAGAGCTAATGAGAGGTAGTGGTTGCATACCACTGTCACTGTAGTGAGTGGCACTGAATTGTTCACTTTAAGTGGTTAATGTTATGGGAATTTCATCTCAATTAAAACAAAAATATTCTGCCACCTGCCTCTCAAGCATGAGGTCCTGAGTTCGATCCCCGGTACCACACACACACACACACACACACACACACACACACACACACACACAAAAGCCCAGTGCAGTGGGGTACACCTATAATTCCAGCTCTCTGGAAGGCTGAGGCAGGAGGACCAAAACTTTTAGCCCAGCCTGGCAAGCTAGTGAGACCCTGTCTCAGAATATAAGAAAAAATAATATGGGAATGCAGCTAAGTGCAAAGGTCCTGGGTACAATCCTTAGTTAAAAAAAAAAAAAAAAAAATCCACCACAAATTCCCACATAGAACAAGCCTTTAAAATAACAGTAAAGTGGGTGGGGATTTAGCTCAGTGGTGCCATCGCCTGCCTCACAAGCACAATGACCCAACTTTGATCCTGGGTACAAAAAAAAGGTAAAGGTGCTGTCTTGGTTACTCTTCTCATTACTAAGACAAAATACCCAACATCTAGAGTTAAAGGAAGCCAGGCGTGGTGGCGCACGACTGTAATCCCAGCACTCACGAGGCTGAGGCAGGAGGATTGCTGTGAGTTCAAGACCAGCCTGGGCTACATAGTGAGTTCCAGGTCAGTCTCAACTACATAGTGAGACCTGTCTCAAAAAAACCCAATAATAATAATAATAATAATAATAATAGTAATAATAAAGTTGAAGAAGGAAAGCTTTATTTATTTATTTATTTATTTATTTATTTATTTATTTATTTATTTATTGGTTTTTTGAGATAGGGTCTCACTATGTAGTTGAGACTGACCTGGAACTCACCATGCAGCCCAGGCTGAACTCACAGCGATTCTCCTGCATCAGCCTCTGAGTGGTGGTATTACAGGCTTGCACCACCACGCCCAGCTGGAAAGGTTTATTTTGACTCACGGTTTGTAGAAGTTTCAGTCCATGGTTGCCTGGCTGCAAGGTAGGGTGGCATGGCAAGGGGCATCACTGAGGAGAAACAGTCCATGGTAGGCAGAAGGTAGCAAGTAGCAAAGTAGCAAAGAAGCAGCCAGTGAAGACAGCAATTCTCGTAGCTGGGCGTCGTGGCGCACCCCTGTAATCCCAGCACTCAGAAGGCTGAGGCAGGAGGATCGCTGTGAGTTTGAGACCAGCCTGGGCTACACAGTGAGTTCCAGGTCAGTCTCACCTACATAGTGAGACCCTGTCTCAAAAACAAAAAAATAAAACAAAGACAGCAGTTCTCTTTCTGTTCCTTGTATTCTATTCAGGCTATTTGCCCTTAGGGCAAGTAGGACTCACAACAGGATGGGCCTTCCCATTATCCATGCCCAGAGCTATGCCAAACCAATCAATAGTCACAATAATTTAGAGACCACACACCCTTAATCCCAGCATCATACTCTAGATCCAGCAACATTTGAAAAACCCCCACCTATGACCAGATAAAGCTTGGGGGTGCTATGTAGGCACAAGCCATAACAGGTGCTAAAGGTCAGAAGTTGGGTATGTAAAGGAGTAGAGGGCAAACACCCTAGGCAGAAGCAAAGGATCCAAGTGAGTCTGGAGAAGTAAAAAGCTGTCATCTCCACTGTCTGAGGCTGTGACCTGTGGGCAGGAGAGACTAGAAAGCAACATGGTGGGCAGGAGGCTGGAGGGTACCAGGGATCCTTAGAAGGCTTTCTTGGGGGTGATAAGACCTGACTTTTGTTTGTAAGAGATCACTCTGCAAAGGTGGGTGTGGAGCCAGACACGGTGGTGCACGTGTCTAATTCCAGCACTCCAGAGGCTAAGGCAAGAGAGTCACTGTCTCAAAAAACCAAAAAAAAAAAAAAGTGGGTGTGGGGAGGCAGAGTGAGGCAGCCGAAGACAAAGAGGTCAGAGGAAGGAAAACCCATGGCAGAAAGGAAGGATAAGGGACGGGGGGGGGGTCCAGATGATGCCCAACTGTAACACATGGGTGGACACTGGTCACTGAAGTGTAAGCTGTTAGTGAGGAATTGCCTTGGCCTGCAAGATGATGTCCTCTGTGGGGAATTTGAGGAGCTAAACTTAACTCGGAGTTGGATGTGCATAAAGGACAGAGGCTCTGGAAGCCATCAGGGCTGGAGACAGTGTGGAAAGATCCCAGAGCAAGGATGGCACCGGATGCCCCGGAACTAGTGGTTATAAACCTCCAGGGACCCTGTGGGAAGGCTCCCATTTCTGGAGGAAGACAGAAAGATCGAGTGTTGGGCCATGACCGAGGAGATGGGAGATGTTCAGGAACGATGCTGTTAGCTATGAGGCACCAAAGTCAAGACACAGGAGAAAAAGTATGCACTAGATTTGGCAAAGTGAGAACACCAGTGACCTTGAAAATTTTCCCTGGAGAGTCAGGGACAAAGTTGAAGGACGAGGGGGAGGCAGGGAAGCAGAACCGGCAAGGCAGTGAAGACCCCTTTTTTTTTTTTTTGGTTTTTTGCGACAGGGTCTCACTATGTAGTTGAGACTGACCTGGAACTCACTATGTAGCCCAGGCTGGTCTCAAACTCACAGCAATCCTCCTGCCTCAGCCTCCTGAGTGCTGGGATTAAAGGCGTGCGCCACCACTCCCAGCTTTGGTTTGGTTTGTTGAGCCAGTGTTAGTTCAGGTTGACTTTAAACTCACTATGTAACCCAGGCTGGCCTTGAAATCACAACGATCCTATTGCCTCAGCCTCCTGGGTATTGGGATTAAAGGTGTACTCCACCACGAACCACCATGCTGGTTTACAGACATCTCTTTGTTTTTTGTTTTGTTTTGTTTTTTTTAGTACCAGACTTGGGAGTTTGAGAAAGGAGGATCACCAGAAATTCCAGTGCACACCTATTTGCAAGTTTTTCCAAGTTTGGCTCAGCCTAGACCACTTAGAAATTTAGCAAGATTCCATCTCAAAATAAAAAAGCGCTGGGGATGTAGCTCAGTGTGGAGATTGGATTGTCTTCAGTATAAATGAGTAAATAAGCTAAGTGGTAGGAAGGAAATGAGGTGGGGAAGATATAGTTAGGAAGGTTCCTGGGACCCAGGGCCTGGATGGACAGGCCAGAGTCTTGGCATTAATCAAAGGACCAGCTCACCCTTTCTGAAACCAGAGGAAGGAGTGGTTGGAGCTATGTCCCGAAGTGTGTAGGAAGAAACTGTAAGAGAGACTGTCTCAAGAATTCGGAGGGACCCGGCATAGCGGCACATGCTTGTAATCCCAGCTCTTGGGAGGCTGTGGCAGGTGGATCGCTGCGAGTTTAAGGTCAGCCTGTGATACCTAGAGTTCACAGCTAGCCTTAAGTATATAGCTAGACCCTGCCTCAAAAAAACCAAAACCAAACAAAAGATTTCGGAGGACTGGAATGAAAGACGAGGCATGGGTGTCTGCGGGTTGAAAAGGGTCCAGGCTTGAGTGGGGTGCCCCGAGTTTCAGGCTGGGGCTGTACGGGTTGAGAAGACGGCTGCTAAATGCTGTAAATAAAACTACAGAAGGCCCAAGTACATCTGAATGTAATGTAAGCGAGTCATAACGTTTCAGTATAAATATATCCCACGTAATCGTGGGATATACTTATATTTTTAAAATGTGTTGCTTATCTGAAATTCAAGGGCTGTGAACAAGGGAGGTGTAACGACACAGCTGCCGGCCGAGGAGGGAATGGGGACCGTGCGACCCCGCCTGAGATTCAAGACTGGAAACAACCAGCCGCGCCAAGCGGTGGGTGCCGAATGGGGATAAGGATGGGGCCGCTCAAGTCCATTCCAGGCAGTGATTCAGTTCCTGTCCCAGAATTTTGGTCTCGTCCCACCACCCCTCCCGGCGCGCCATGGTTTAGTCCTGAAGACCCATCGATAACTCTACGCTCCGACTCGGCCTCTTATCGATTCGCTCGGGTTCCCCTCGCCGTCCTGGGTCTAGGCAGAGTACGGAGCGCGTGTAAGGTACGGAGGCCACGGGACAAAGGCCAGGAATCAGCTGCTGGGTGGCTAGCAGGATGCAGCCAAGGGAAGGTGGCGAGCAGAAGGGACTCCGGGCGGTCAGCGAAGCACCGGGAGCTCGCGGGTCCGGCCACACAGAGCCCTCTTCCATCAGATCGAGCAGCTGGTCAGCTACGCATGCGCAGCCGCAGCGCTGGTCTTTCCTTGGCACACCCGCCGCATGCGCATGCGTGTGCCGCCCCTGCGGCAGACGGCGCTCGGTGTGACTGCCCTCTGCTGGCTAGGGGTGGCGTGGCGTTCAACCCTTGCCTGCGCGGGGAAGGGCCTCTGCGGGCTAGGAGGTGTACCTCTTTGGCTGTCAGCAAATCCTAGAATCCGAGCCTGTTTTTCCATCTCTAACGTAGGAATGATAATATCTGTCTCAGAGCTTCAGACATTTATTTAGTACGCAGATGGCATCTTCTGAATACTTAACACTTCTCTCCTCTGCAGATGTTCTGACCTTTGACTCCTGATCAGTTCTCCTGCCCTGGTCGAGATTCATTCTTCCCAGCAGCCACGCCATGAACACCTCCCCAGGAACAGTGGGCAGTGATCCTGTCATCTTAGCCACTGCGGGCTATGACCACACTGTGCGGTTCTGGCAGGCCCACAGCGGGATCTGCACACGCACTGTCCAGCATCAGGATTCTGTATCCTCCATCTGAGTAGTGGGCAGGGTGGTGCTGGGCAAGACAGTGGGTGATGATGTAGCAGCTCCTGCCAGGTAGTGGAGGTGAGAGTCCTAGCCCCAGAGCTGCCTTCCTGTCATCCTCCTTAACAGACCCCAGCAGGTGAATGCGCTCGAAATCACTCCAGACCGCAGCATGATTGCTGCTGCAGGTACCTGTGTCTCTTGGCCTCTTTCCCCTGACCTCTGGTAAAATGACTTGGCACAGCCATGTTTCAGTTCAGCCTGTGTCCCTAGGTTATCAGCACATCCGCATGTATGATCTCAACTCCAATAACCCCAACCCCATCATCAGCTATGATGGAGTCAATAAGAACATCGCATCTGTGGGTTTCCATGAAGATGGCCGTTGGATGTATACAGGCGGGGAGGACTGCACTGCCCGAATCTGGGACCTCAGGTGTTGGGTGCTGGGCAGGAGTAGCCTGCTGCCTTGGGGTGAAGGTGGGCCAGGCAGAGGCCCAGCTTGGGCAAGTTCCCCCCAAGCAGAGGCTGGGCCAGGGAGCTTTGTGGGTGATTTATTGAGGGAAGGAGAAAAGTCTAGTGAAGTGAATTATATGAAAGATCTCACCCTGCTTTGAGGCCAGGGCCTGCCTTTTCCTTCCTCTTCAGTCAGTCACTAGCTTTAGAACACTCCCAGGAGGGAAGAGCCAAACCTCTGAGGTGGGAGGAGGACATCTGTGTGACACCCCCCACCAGGTCTCGAAATCTGCAGTGTCAGCGGATCTTCCAGGTGAATGCACCCATTAATTGTGTGTGCTTGCACCCCAACCAGGTGAGAATTATTCATGGGGCCAGGCGCTCGGGCTTTGGAAGGTAGGGATCCTGCTATATCTCACTTCCCCTACACCCCAGGCAGAGCTCATCGTGGGTGACCAGAGCGGTGCTATCCACATCTGGGATCTGAAAACAGACCACAATGAGCAGCTGATCCCAGAGCCAGAGGTCTCCATCACGTCTGCCCATATTGACCCTGATGCCAGCTACATGGCAGCAGTCAATAGCACAGTGAGTCCCTGTACTCGTGCAGAGGGGCTGATTTCCCAGTGTCCCTAACGCCCCTCCCCTCCTTCCAAGCTTGAACACCCACCAGCCCCCAGAGCCAGCAACATGGATACCTCTCCTGATGTCCCTTTTGCTGCCTGCCATTGTCCCTCCAGCAGGTCAAGGAATTTGAGTCTTTCATTTCCCTGTCGACTCCTGGCCCAAGTCACCCTTCTCTTCCCCGATGCTGACAATCTCTCTGTGCCTGTCTACCTTCTCTCTGACATCCCCCTGGCTCCTTTGTCCAATCTCCCTTAGCAGCAGCCTTATTATCCAGACTGTACCATTCTGCTGAGGAGATCTCAAGATGCCCTGGATCCTGCCCATGGTCTGCAGGATGTTGGCTTGGGCTATATTCTTCCTTCTAGCTTCATTTCCCCCCCTAATTTCACTTGTCAAATCACAGTGTGTCACTTGTTCCACATCCCAGCCTTGGCCTGCTGCACCTTTATCTGGGTGCTCTCTTCTCCTTCTGCAACCCTTTTGGCCAGCAGTAGCCTCCAGGGAGGTGTGATGAGCCCTTGGCTGTTCAGGTGTGCCCTTGGTTGGGGCCAGGCCTCCCATACGCCTCCTGTATGCGCTGGTTCAGGTCCCTATATGCAGTTGGCCCCAATTGCTGGATCCAGGTTCAGTGCCCTTCTCTGAGGTTCCAAGTTTCAAGTGATTGTCCTTCTACCCAATAGGGAAACTGCTATGTCTGGAATCTGACTGGGGGTATTGGTGACGAAGTGACCCAGCTCATCCCCAAGACCAAGATCCCAGCCCATACCCGCTACGCCCTGCAGTGTCGTTTCAGCCCTGACTCCACGTGCGTGTGCAGGACCTGGTGACCTGGGAAGGGGTTTGCCTGGGGCTGGGCTTTGATAAGTTGGACCCACCTGGTACATGGCAAGGAGGTACAGGGTGGGATTAACTCCAGTTTAGCCTCCTGTGTCCCTACCCCTAGGCTCCTTGCCACCTGCTCAGCTGACCAGACATGCAAGATTTGGAGGACATCCAACTTTTCCCTGATGACAGAGCTGAGCATCAAGAGCAGCAACCCTGGAGAGTCATCGCGTGGCTGGATGTGGGGCTGTGCCTTCTCAGGGGACTCCCAGTACATTGTCACGGGTGAGCCCCACTTCCCCTCCCCTGCCTGGGCCTGTGGAATGGGCCAGTGCAGCTGCTGCTCCTCTTCTGCCTTGGGCCAGCTGTGTCAGACTCCAGACACAGTGGTTGCCCTAGGGGTTCGGAGGACAATCACTTGAAACCAGAGCCTCAGAGGGCACCCTGGGGATGTATCTACATAGGGACCTGGGCTAGGGTGTGCAGGTGGGCACCTTGAGTCCTCCCTGTAGGAGGCCCCTGGGAAGCCTAGTCCCTACCAAGGACCGTACCTGGCCCTGAGCTACTGTCTGATTCTTCTTTACAGCTTCGTCTGACAATTTGGCCCGCCTTTGGTGTGTGGAGACTGGAGAGATCAAGAGAGAGTATGGCGGCCACCAGAAAGCTGTTGTTTGCTTGGCCTTCAATGACAGTGTGCTGGGCTAGCGTGTACCCTTGGGAATGCAGGCAGCTATGGGGCAGTGGGGATGGCCTGTGCAGTGCCTCCAGCTGGACGTACCTGTATCACCTGATCAGAGCAAAACCCCTGGGCTAGCCTCTGCCTACCAGGTTCACTGGACCTGAGCAGGCCACCCCACCCCTCAGCCAGCCTAGACCTGCTGTCGGCTCTAGAACTCCCTCGGTGTCCATTTGCTTATCAGGAGCCCACCAAGCCAGGGTATACACGCCTGAGCTGAAAGCCTGCATTCCCTTCAGAAGACTGGGGGAGCCTGACCGAGGCTAGTGCCTACCCTCATATCAAGCTTCCTCTTCCTGCCCCATCAGATCCTGAGGCTCAGAAAATACCACTACAGCCAGGTGCAAGGGTTTATTAGTCCCTGCCAGCAGCTGCCCTCTGTGGTGCTGGTGACCAGCCAGCTGCTGGCCTTTGGGGACAAGGTGCAGACTAGGTCAGGCAGGGGACTTAGTCTGGAAGGTAATAAAAGCAGACGGACATGCAGATGTTGCTTGGGAAGCAGATGTCAATGCAGAGATAGATTAGCCGCTGTCTCTGGGGCCCTGGGAAAAAGAGAGGTCATGAATTCCCAAGAGACTTCCATTCAGTGCCACAGGCCTCTCCACAGTATCCTCCAACTCACCCTCCACTCGATGGGCCCAGTAGATGGGAGTCTTTGCACAGAGCTGTTGGACTGAAGCTCCCACCTGGGTAGGGTCCACGGTGTGGCTCCCATGCACTGCCAGCAGCTCTTGGGCATGGTGGGTATCCTGGCCAGGGGCACGGGACCCTTGAACCTGCAGAAAGCCATAGCATAAGGCTTCTGGCTGGGTGGGGGCCACACATCCCACCCCAACCTGACAGCCCAGGCACCTGCTATCAGCAGCCTGGGCTAAGAGAAGCTTAGAGCTCTCTGTTCCCTGAAACCAGAGCCCTAGCTGGCCTGGGCTGGCTGCACACAGGACCCTTTGTCTGGCTCCTGTCCTGGGGGCTGAGCCAAGGGGGGCTGCTCACCCTGGAGGTGTTCACTAGCAGCTGCAGGGTCTCCCGATCGTGGGCCTCCATCAGGCGGAGGAAGCAGGCCTGATGTTCTGCAGGGCGGTAGCAGATGCAGCCCTGGGGAGGCAGGTGGGTGAGGTGGGGCTTTCTGTAACGTCTGCAGTTTGACACCCTCCTCCTCGTCAACTCACATTCTGCCCGTCGAACAGCACTACCCAGCTGCGGTTGCTCTGAGGTGGAGTCACCATAATGGTTGCCATGTTCTGGGCCATGTCCACCAGGGTGGTTTGGTTGGACCAAGGCACCCTTGGACTTGGGAGGGTCAGTCGGAGCATCTGCAACAGTGGCTGAGAATGGGAAGTTGGAGTTAAGCCAGGTGGGCTTCACAGCCCCAATTGTTCCCAGCCCTGGGCACTCATGCATCATCTGAATGGGCTTTCCACCCTCTGGTCCTGTCATTTGCTGCAAGGCCAGTGTTCTGGCCTGCTGTGGGCTCTAGCTCTGGAGGGCTGGCATGTGCTGGTCTTCCTGCCCCCTCCCACTGTGTGTGCTTGTGCCGGAGAATAGGCTCACCTTGGGAGGGCCATGGGTGAAACCAAGAAGCCCTCCAGCCACAATCCCTGCAGCGGCCAAGGCCAGCAGCAGCAGCAGACCTGCACCTCTCCAGCTCCCACAGCAGGGCTTAGGCTTCACCTAGGGGCACACTGTGGTCAGTGGGGCTATTGGGTTGGAGACCCAGACGCCGGCTTGCTCGGGGACGGAAGCTGTAGTGGGTGGTGGCACTCCCAATCCCTGCCCAGGGCACCCCAGGTTCTTGTCCAGGGAATGGCAGAGGTACTCACCTCTGCAGGACCAGGCCTGGGGCCTTCCGGGTAGCCGCTCCTGTGCTCCATGCTGCAGCCCCTGCTGACAATACACTGATTGTCTGCAGCCCCTTGGAGGACTCGGCAGGGAACCTCAGGATTCTGATGAGCCAAACAACTGTACCCTCCCCTCCAGACCCCGCTGCCTCCTCCCTACTTCAGTATCTGATATCCAGGTCAGAGCAGGGACAACTCCCTCCTCCACTGGGGTGCCAATCACCAGGCCGGGTTAAAAGCTGGCCTGTGTAGAGGTGAGCATAGGGTCTAGGAGGATTTGAGAGCTCAGACCTCTGGGTGAATCCAATCCAGCTGATTGGGGGCAGTTCAAGCCCAGCCTCAATGACTGCTTAGGGCAGATTCAATTCTTCCCTGCTCGTTACTCTGGACTTCCAGAGTGGGGGACAGGGCCTGGCATACAGCAAGCCATCAATAAGTACCTGTCCAGTGACACTAGTACTGGGCTACCACCACCCTCTCCTTTGTGTCTCTACCTGCTGTTAGCCCCACCATAAATCAAGAACACACAGGCCTACCACCAAGAGGATTCCAGACTCCATCAGCAATTGGCACCCAACTGGAGCCCCCTGCAGGCGGAGGAGGATCCTTGGCCTTTAGTGTCGCCTCAGAATGGCTTCTAATTCATCCTTGTCCTGGCCCATCTCCAAACATGACATTGTATGGTGCCTCCCATGGCTGTCCCCCAATTTTCCTGATTCTTCAGAACTGTTTCTGTAACAGGTCTGAAGTGGTGTGGTGCTGCAGAAGTCATTGTTCTAGCTCTAGAATTGGAACACTAGCCTGTTTTTTCAGCCCTCCCATCCTGTCATATCCCTTTCCCCAAGCTACGCAGCTGCCACCTGGAGGTAACTACAAAGGTGAGAGGAAGGAAGGCCAAGTCAGTGCAGGTTTGAGAGTTTAATGTGCATGTGAGGTCACACAGCGCAAAGGGTCAGAAATGGGGTTCACATAGGCTCCCAAGCCGGCTGAAGAGAGAGGCATTGCTGGCTGCTGCACCTGCTGTGTGCTTCTGGTGTGGGTGACAACGCCCTGACAGGCCTGCTCAATATCCAGACCCACCTTGAGCCGACCTCGCAGAGCCAACGTCAGCACCACCAACCTCACAGGCATGGGTGCCCTCCTGTTGCCATGTGGCATCATCTCAATCCCAGCCAATCCAGCTGGGAGCAGCTGCAAGCTTTATTGCTGAGAACTCAGGGAACAGGTGAAAGAGCACTGTGATCACAGGGCTAGCAGAAGCCACTGGATACAGGGTGAGGCACCAGGAAGGAGTCAGCCAAAAGGAACAGCCTCCCAGGCTCTGCCCTGTGAGTGCTGCCAAGTCTGCTCAGCAAGCTGCTAAAGTTCAACAGCCTAGAAACGGGCAGAAAAGGCCAGAGCCCCTTCAGAGAACCTCTGGTTGGCTGGTGGGCCCTGCAAGTCCTCCCACTGACAACTATCCAGGTACTACAAGGCCAAGATAAGTGGCCTCACACCTAACCCCCACTGACATCAAACCCCAGCCCTGATCCAGGGTACAGGCAGGCAGGGAGAGACTGAAAACTTTGTAAAATAACTTCCTGTTATCTGGACAGGTCTTTCCTCCCCCACCCAGAGGGTACCCAGAGGCAGTCCTTGGCCAACACATGCCTTTAGCCATGTTGCTGGCAGTGGGACATGGAGACTTCTTCAGAGTGATTTCTCCTATGGGACAGAGCACATCTATTAATCCACATATTTAAGATTCAATTCCATCACTTGACAAAGTTGTCCACAAGTTTTTCTTTTTTTTTTTCTTTTTTGGTACCAACACCGCTCTGAGCTCCCTGCGCAGCAGCCCATAGTTCAGTGAAGGTGTCCACACCTGCCTGTCTGAGTCACCTGGATTTAAATGTACACTTGAGACATCTGAGGTTTAGCTGGGCTGAGTTTACAGAACAGGGCAGCTGTGTATGAGAAGCTGCAGCCCTGGGCATCTGAAACGGAACAGACATTTGTGACATCAAAGTGGTTTTCAAAGGAAATGAGAAGGATGGCAAGGGCAGCACCCTGCACCCAAGGACAGGGTGACACCACTTGGGAGTGGCCTCCTCCTACCCTGCAGATGAGGAGCTGGGACACAGCAGCAGTCAGCTGTGTTGCATTATCACAGTCAGTGGGGAGGCAGAAAGGACCTCGTTCTGTCTGCACAAGGGTCTTGTAACAGTCACAATAATCAGGACCTTCTTTCTGCCGAAGGGGGCTTCATCCCTGAACAAAACTTTTAAATACAAGACACACACCTCTAGACCTGCCTCAGTCTCAGCAAGGCCTGAGGTTACCTGAATCCTGGACAGGTGCCAATCCTGCCCTAGCCAACACATCCAAAACCCAGGACCTACCCCTATGATGCCCTCCAAGTTTAAAAAGTGCATCTTAAATTAAAATATAAGCATCTGTAAACAACATCGTCCCCAAAACGTTTACTTACAAGGCTAACGACTACTGCCTCTGCTTAACTCCAATTACACTCTCTGGCCACCTCACTGAGCCAATGCCTAAGCCCCACCTATTAATTTGGCTAACGTTTCCGATTACTTTTTATTCTGGAGATTAAAGACACTAAATCTTTAACCTTGAAGGGCAGGCAAGAGATCGGCTATGCTGTCAACATAGAAGTCGGGAACCATTTTCTTCTTAGACATGCAGTCACTTTCCTGATTACTCTTCACGTCCCCCAGCGTGGAGACTCCCGTGAGGGTCAGGATGGTCTTCAGGCCGCAGGTGACGCCAAGGAGGATGTCGGTGTCCAGTCGGTCCCCAACCATGACAGTGCGCTCCGGGTTGATGCCATACTCCTGGGACACGCAGTCGAAGATGAAGCGGCTGGGCTTCCCGATGATGTCGGCCTGGCGCTGGGCGGCCATCTCCACCGCGCGCACCAGACAGCCGGTACCTGCGGGACGGAGGGAGGGAACGGGACGCCGGGGTCAGAGGGTGGGGATGGGGGGGCCGTAGTGGGCCCTCCGGCCTCCCGCCCCGGGGCGCACGGACCCGCGAGG